GTTATGCAAGCGTACGGATAAGCGAGATTGAAGGATGTCTTGTGTTTAGTCATCGTAGTCATTCATGTAAAGATCTTTTTTATTTTTACACTATTGCCTAGAGGATTAGCGGACAAACGCAATCTGGAGATTAGTTTGTTGGGATCTTTCTTTCTACAGAGATTAAGGGCTCAGTGACAACCAGGGATCCAGAAAGAGACTACAAATTGAATTAGTCACTATTACCCACCCACACACAAACACACAGGTACACACTATGCTTGTTTGGTTTCGAGCTTCACAAAGTATTGAAACCCATGGATCTCGGTGCGTGGAGGCTGGATGAAGGGAATCGACCGCAGGAGCTCAGAGCGGTCGTTGGGGATTTCAGGCACAGTTGTGGGACGCTTTGTCGAAAGTGTGGTCTCCTCTGGGAGGACTGAGTCATGTTCACACAGCAAGTCTTTGGTCCGCTCGGCTGTCTAGCTGTAGTCACTGACACCACCTGCTGACACACTGCAGTTAGAAAGCAAAGGACTGAACTGCAATGTGATTAAGCTACGTTTCAACTAATTACAGCCACAGAAATGTTTGCAAACATTTCCGAAAGGAGTAAAACAGTGAATGACATTTTAACGTTGCATTTTGAAGTTTGAAGAGTTTTGCTGCTGAAGAATGAAAGATCAACTAAATATTACAGAGATGATAAAACAGCAATCAATTGTTCAACCAGTGCACTCAAACCACGTCCTTGTTTTCCATCCGGTTTTAGCATAGGGGAAACTTCTTTGCTTCATACTCTATTCAGTCCAATTGGCGGTCAGCAGCTTTCCTGAGAAAGGCTTCAGTCGTTAATATAGCTCTAATTGCCAAACTGCATGTGGCTTATATGGCTCCATCACAAAACTCTTGAAATACAATCAGCGTAGAAAAGAACGCAAAGATAACACAGCCCTCCACCTATCCATGTTGTTTTTCTACCGAGGAAGAGCAATGAACCCTCTGGTTAAAAGGCCTAAGAGAAAGTAAAGGGTCGTGCAGCATTAGGCCAACTCATGAACACAGCCTCATCTCCAGTGGCAGCACTGATGTTGCTCCATTCCAACATCACCAGCCCTCTCCTCTCCTCAGCCATGAGGGAAACCTGACCGACGTGCTGCCAGCAGACTGACACCAGGGACGGGGCATTAGGAATGCCGTTGAGCTCGCCCAAGCTATTTCCCAACACACCTGAAGGCTGTGCACTTTAAAGAAAGAGGGGAAGGTTTGTAAACCTCAATTTGCATCAGTTCAAACAGAGTAAACCCACTCTAATCGCCAGATTAAGTAATTGATTGACCTCATTTTATCCATCCGTGTATCTGGAAGAAAGTGGGGCACACATTGTTGGAATGTTTTGTGGGACTGGGTTATCTGAACACAATAAGGTTGTTTTTGGTTTGCCTGGCGGGGGGTGAAACTGAGCGGAAAAGTAACACCGGCCTCGTGTCCCATAGTAGGCTAACAAGCCGTATTCACATGCTGCCAAAAACAAAAAGCCTCCCATCAGCTGACAGAGGTGAGACGTCAGTGCACCCGTGGCGCACTGTGTGCCCTTGGGCTCGGATATACAGCTCCAAAAAACACATGCAGGCTTCTGCTAAGATCATTTATTTTCATGAGTGGTGTGATCTCGGTGCAGACTGGATAAACCCCAAACCAGAGCTGCCCCAGGTCAGTACCTTTGTTTCTTCTCACGCCTCTCTCCCTCCCATTTAAGGTATCAGCCCACCTCTCGTCAGCCTGCTATCAAATTGTTGATTTGACAAATAACTGTAATAGCTCATTTCTGTAGAACAGAAACATCCTGCAAAAAGAACAACTCCATAAAGCGTGTGGCACCAATAGTTACAATGCTTTCAGCAGAACGATCCTCCTAAATAAAAGGTTCTTCGATAAAACATTGTTGATAAATGATTTACTTTTCATTGTGAAAAGGAACAGTCATTGCAAATCTGCAATTTGATTGGCTTGAAAAATGGTTCAACAGTTTAAATACCCAACAAATATCCAATCAGCTATTTTAAGTTAAAAAAAAATTTCAGCTACAAGCTACATAAAGTCTACCAAAACGCAAATAAAGGACAGAGGAAAACAGGTGGCAGCTAGCTTAAGATAGAAAAAAAAAGAGAAAAGCAGGTGGTTTTGGCCGGACTAAACTATTATTAGTAACGACAGCTGAGTAAGCGGTTTTGGGCGATGCTTGTAATAAATCTCCTGTACCAAATGTTTTCACAGAAAAAGTACATCAAAAGTTCAACATCTCTACAGAAGACATGTCTAAGAGAAGTTGAACTGCAAAACTTGTCTTACCATAATAATACCAGCAGTAAATAAAGCTCAACGTTATTGGCTTAGAAACGAAGGTGTATCTGCCTACATTTTGTGAATGTTATTCATTCACTTGCATGTGCTCAGAATAGAGGACGTTTTTTCTAATAAAATTCTAGTTTAAGCATAATCACAATCAAGCTCCACAGGGGAAAATATGTCAAAGATTTAGAATGCAACAAAATTGCATTCAAGTTAATATACCTAACTTTAGCCCCTTTTCCCTTAATGTCCCTCCTGTTGTGTCAGTTTATTTGTGTGGCTCTCTTTAGTTATCTGTCACACACCCATCGTTACCATATGGTTTAAGGTCAATGTTCGGTGGTGGCTCTAACTGAATTTCTGGCATAGTAATAGATTATACATTAAAACATTGGGAAACCTAATAAATTCCCTCCAAGTTTGGTTTTGTAGATGTGTTTTTCTTTAGGCCACTACTCCACAAATGACCTACAGCCACCCGAGAGTTTAGTCACTCATGTGGAGCGGAAGTAAATAGCTGGTAATCTCTAAAAATTGTGTCAAATTGTAGACATTACCGAAAGGCATGAGTCCTGAAATTTCTCGGGCTATTTTTTTGGTTAGATGTCTGAAATAAAGCTTCAGAGCATTCGGTATTTTGTACTACAATATAAAACATGTACATGAACACCAAGAAAATGAATTCTAAAGATTTTATGTGTCTGAAAAAATGTCGTTATCAGTAAGTAGCTAAATGACCTGTACGGTCTTAAAGACGTGGGGTAGTTTGTTCAGAGCGTAACAGTAGCTCTGCATAATGCATAATGTTTTTTGCACATTATGTGAAAATGATTTAATTTAACAATCACCTTAAACTTGTGCTTGCCACAGAGATTAATTACTGCAATAATCCCAAATTGAAGAGAAAATACAGTACTGCTACGATGTTAATACAATATTGCTCTGGCTATTGCTGAGAACATTCAATGCAATCACTGTAGTATGAATATGAATATGATCATGCGCGACTGTGTGTTAAGCCATAATAGCAAAAGGAAACGTAAAGTCTCAAAAGAGTTACACTATGGTAACTTTTTTTTTTTTTTTTTAGAAATGAAGAGTATACCAAATAGTTTGCTTTTCTCACACACAACCCATTCGACACGTTTTCTCTGGGGCAGTAAGGATCCAATCGTTGGCCCCATGGGCCACTTCTAAATCAATAAAGGCCGTGTCGTAGCAACAGCTAGCCCCAAATTCCTCAGTCTGTGCTGCCGTTTTGTGCGGTCTTTAACACTGCGCTGCCTGTACCATGGTCACAATGCAAAGCAGTTATCACCCAGCAATGTGCAATAGTTTTTTGTTTACCTTTCTGTTCATGTAAAACAGCCTCTGTGGGTCCAACCTAAAAGCATGATTTTTACATCAGACAGGCATCACTCATCACGGGTTCAGTGACATGTTTCAATTGATTTGCAGTGAAGAGGGGGACGTGGTTGGACCTAACTTTGTATGCCAGGTCTCCAGTAACGCACAGCAGGGAAGGAGGCCCTGCGCCTTTACTGCGCCTTATCTACAAACACAGCCAAGCAGTCGCTCCCAGCAATCCACAGAGTTACAGCTGTGCTTTAAACATGCGAGTAGATCTGGAAAGCGCTTCTGCAATGCCAACGGCCCCACTTTATTGCATTTTCCTTAAAGAAAAATAAGAAATATGGTAATGTTATGTCAAAAGTGTGAACCCTTTCAACAACAGGGCCGAGTGTATTTTTTAAATCAACAACGCTCTGTGCAGAGGAACTCATGTAAGCTACAATCTAACCAGACACTTTTTCAAGGGGGGGGGCTTGCCCTTGTTATAATGGTGGGGGAAAACACTGCTTTTTATGCCACACAAGATTTGTTGTTCCAAGAGGGGGAGACGAGCTAGACGTAAACACATTTACCATACCATAACTGTTCTGGAAGTACTTTGCAATAGAGTCTCTAGAAGTGGCCTGGCTGAGTTCCTTTATGATCAAACACCTTGGGAGGCCCTGTTAATAATAAGCAAGCAGATAACACTGGGTGGGCAAGTTCCACTGCATTTCACACCATCTCTCTCTGTCCCCTTGAGAAGCGACAGGACAATGTCTATGTACTTGTTGCTAGATGAATTACAGGGAAAGCCTTCATTTACAGCTTCCTCTCTATTGTTGCACGGTATTTTTGCAGCACCCATTCCACTGCTGCAATGTGGGCAAAAGGCCCCCAGAACAATAAAGCTCCGGGCTGACTAAAGCTGGCACACTGGTCCGGACTGCAAACATTGTTTTGGTCACAGGTATTACAAATATGCAGGTGGGTGTGTGAGGGGCGGAGGGGGTGTCAACTGGGTCTCCTGAGGTGGCCGCTGTCTCTCTTCCTGTGACCTCTTGACTCCCAAGTAGGCAAATCAAACAACTGCAGCTTTTTTCCTCTTGAGTTTCGAGCAAAGTAGCAGCCAGCTAACGTTACGTAACTTAACCTTAGCTAAACGTGACTTAAAACAGGGGAGCAGCCAGTTAGTCGGTAAAGTTGACGTGTTTCACCTATAATCACGGCGGAGTTGCGGCGCTACCTGTTAGACCTCGTCCAACCAGCACCGACGGGCAAAGGCCACAGGCTAGAACCGACCCGCATTAGCATAACACAACAACCGGTAACGCCGCTGCGCCCCACCGCCGAGGGTCACGCACCACCTGCGTGACGTCACCACCTTGATTAGCGTAGCCCGACTAAACTGTTACAGCCGGTGTTTTGGAGTGAAACAATTCGGTAACGCCGCGGCGGTTTGATTCAACAACTTACCAGATAATCCATGCGCTGTCCCGTCACAGCACCGCGAAACTGGCGCTGCGGTTCCTGCCGTTTTCTGTTGCTTCGGTGAGTCCAAAATGTAACCGTTGATGGGTTTTGACCGCACGTCGCTTTGTATTCCCCGCCTTCCGAGTGACAGACACAAATGGAAAAAGCCAGCCTTCGGTGGGTTTGGAAGCGAGGACTCTCGCCGTCTTCTTCCCCTTGAACAGAAACGAATTAAAAACCCGTTTCGGAACCGGCGACCGAGTGTGGTGCTGACGACGAGGGCGGCTCGGCCCGTGTGCCTTCTGTCCGACTAAGCAGCCCCCTCGCCAGTCGGCCCACTTCCAGTTGTTCTATCACTGTATCAGTTGGGTGGTTTGCTTGAGGAAACTAGCGGAGCCCCACGCCGCTACGTCACTTACGTCAGGGTGTTTTTTTTCTGCGCACGTAGCGTCGTCACGTGACCAGACACATGGTGGCTGTTTTTATTCGGAGGATGAACCGCTGCTAAAACTCATGAAACGGCCTTTGTTGGAATCTACTTTTCTGAACTTTGAGTGTGTATTAGCGGGCTTCTGCCTTTTTATATTGGATTTCAGAAGCACAATAAGGGTCCAATGTGTTTATAGTGCATATAACAACATGACAAATGTCAGTGAAGTATAGAGCTACTGGGGAAATCCTAAAAGATTTTGCACAGGTGACTCCGACAGACGGATAAACTGCCAACATCTTTAATCTGTGTCAGTGTGTATATTTATGTACATATTTGTGTACAATATCTGGCATAGAAATAAACTATTTGGACGAATAAATGAAGAAAACAAATCTAGTAAATAAAAAGAGCTTCGATAACATTAAATAAAAGCACCTGTGCTTTTACAGAAGTTAATATAACATATCCCGTTCACAACATTCGCAATATTTAGGTTTACCGAAATGTTTTGCACCACCAGGTGGCACTGTATTCATTTGCAATGTATTATATTTCACAGGAAACTAAATTAACCTACCTGCACACCAAACTTAACACTACATCTATGTGCATACACATCCATGCAGTTGCAATTGTGCACAGTACTGTTAAGCTTGAAGTTACACTAAATGCAACAGCCTGTGACATAATTACATAATGAATGAAAGGGAGGAGGGAGAACTCCGTATGTAACTACAGTTCGAAGTCAAAAGGCTGGTCCCTCTTGAAGCAGGTAGGTGTGACCACTGATGTTCCAGACAGAAGACACTGGATAAAGAGAAGATGAATGCAACATCATTCTGCAGGTGATGTGTCATATTAAATCTGCTTACTCCTAGTAAATGTTTAAGTGCCAGATGAAATCTAACACACACAAAAAGGAATAACCTCATTAACAGTCTGCAATGGCAGGTCTTGTACACTGCATAAAGCCAAATTAGGATACAAACTACAAATATGGTGAGCAAAGAAAAAACTATTGTGTCGTATCATTGTGATTACAGCGACAGTATGAATCACAAGCCTGCTGATGGCATGCAAGCTGCATACTGAAGAGATTCCTGTTCCTCGGAGAACGCACTCGTCTTCAATATTTCATGAACTGAAGTGGTAACTTGATGTCCTCTGCACAGGTGTGGAGATGTGGAGAACGCACACAAGAGTGTTTCCTCCAATGTGCACATTAGTCCAGTGTGAATGTATTATAAAGTAGTGTCGTTTGACCTGACCAATGGGAGAGGAGAGACCTCTGGTGGCCTCAGGTAAAACATATACTGTGGTGGAGTAACACAATAGTTTACACTGTATTAATTTGGAAGAAGCGTTTTGTCCATGTTGCCCCAAACACAAGCTAGTTCAGAGTCTTTCTTAGGGGTATTTTGTCTGAGGGGGCGAGGAGTGGCAAAATCTGCTCTCCCAATTACTTGCATGATTATAAAACGAGACGCTGAACTGTTAAATGAAATATTGGTAATTTTGGGTTACCAATGACATTTAGGAAATCACGTTGGAAACTTTGGATTGGCATTTTCAATAGTTATTTGAGTGAAAATAACTGAAATTTTAATGTTACATCCACTTATTCATTTTGGTTTTGATGATGAAAAAGAGATTAAAAGACCTCCATAAGGGGGCAGTCTCTACTAGAATAAAGGACTGAGGAATATTTTCAGCCTTTGTCATGTCCAAAATATAGGGTATATGTAAGTGGTCTAATTATGCAGCGGAATTTCAGCATAGACCAATTATGTGGATGGTTAGACAGTAGATATCAAAAATAGTCCTAATAAACAAGTTTACATTATGTTAATGTAACTTTTGGATTCTTTAGCCTGTACTAAAATCAAATGGCCACTTCAGACCGCATCATCATCATCATTTTTCTATTAACCACTCCACCCTCAATTAACTCTCTCACTAGAAGAAAAAAAACAAGTTGTCAGACTTTTCCTGTCATTGTGTTTTTTATTGTGTTCTATGTAGCTATATCTGTTTCTACACAGCCTTGCTGCATAAAGAATGGCCGCCAGTTTAAGAAAGGTCTCAACGGTATTCTCTTCAACACCCAACACTCACAAGCATGGATTATTGATTGTGTGTTCTTTGCAGCCATGCATATTTCTTGATTGAATGAATGTTGAATCTTTGTTTAGTCATTAAGGAGACTCGGAGACTGAATAACTGCCTGCTTAAAGGATCAATAGTGTGTGTATTTTGATTAGATTTCTTGATTTATGTGACGTTCATTCCTCAAAGGTGGACTAAAATAGTCATCTAGGTGAGTGCAGGGAGGCCTGGAGGCAGTCATCGTGATATCAGGTTTTCCTTTCTTTCTTGGTAAAAGGTTGAGGGTTAACCTGACATCAGACCTGCTGTCTGCATCGCTGCATCCTAATCTTTAATGGCTGAACCAGACGGGGCTTCTGGAATACTGGCTATAGCTTTATAACCTGTTAAAACCACACGGAGCTTCATGTTTTTTACATTCTTCTAGAAGGACATGCTTTCTAGAAGAACTTATTGGCTGCTGAGTTTGTGAAGGACACTATATAACACTCAGTTAAATAACAGCAGCAGAGCTGACTGCTTTTTCACACTTGAGCCAGCGTGATGACAAGCCGGGCTGGAGCAACTGCTGAGGACACTCGGCGTCATGTCCTCTCATTCTTTCTGAGAACTTGCGGTGTTTCAGCAGCCTAATGGGTAGTTATATTCTTCAATTAAAATGGTGGGGGTTGAATTGTAGTTCCTCAGAAAGACGAATTGAATTAAAATAATTCATCTTTCTTTTTCCGGGCACTATTTTGTTCCAGAGAAATAGCACTAAGACATTAATTTGTGGGAGAAATATGGGTAATTGAATGAATTGGATTGTGAAAAATCCATACAGGGGCCTCTGTATTTCTTTAGTCTAAAAATGGATATGGCTGTGTTACCAAAATAGTTCAATTCTAGTATATTCAGGGCTGTCATTGAGAATACTCTTTAATATTTTAGGGAATCTTAAAGAAATCATGTGAAACCCAAGTGTACATTCAAGCATCATGACTGTTAAGTGACTGCCTTTTTTGCTTTTATTCATCTTTTTTCTTTTTCCTTTTTTTTTTTTTTTAAACTTTTCCCAAAAATATAACATTTACTCAAAAAGCCAACAAGCTCTACAAGCCTTTAATTATGTGTACTAGACCCAGTTATAAACCTTAGCACACTATTGTAAGTATTACCTTTTACGTTTTACCTTTGCGAAAGTGGAAAACTACAATTTGAATATACAATGTATCAAAGGTTCTCAATAGGAGCTTCTATAGTTTAAACTTTAACAGTGCATTATATTTACTCCATAGTGTATTTAGTCTTAATCTATAAAGTAACTACGGAATATAAGATAAGTGTAATGGCATGAAAGAGTCAGTAATGTTTTAAACTATATTTCTTGTGAAATATGAATTAGGAGCATGAAATGGAAATTTTATGAAAAATAATTTATCAATGTTAGTAAGTTCTACCACTTGCAAAAAAATGTATCCAATGATGAAATGCAATTTAGTACATTTTCTCTTGTGCTATATTTTCAGCCCATTAATAATATAGCAGCAAACAACTATATTTTAGCAATCCAAATGTAATCCAAGTTGTGCGTTGTTCGGGTTTGTACCCTAATGAAGGCGAACATGTTCACCTCGCCTGCTCCATCCGACCGTAACTATGGTTACGCAGAAGCTTACTCTCTTACTTACTCTATACCCCCTGAGGTAAATACGGTTAGCTCTACCAACACTTTTCCCGTTGTTTTCTAGCGGTATCACCATCTTCGGAGCCATTGACAGACAATTAATATAATCAAATTACTTTATTTAAGATTTAGTTAATGTCAAATAAAGTGATTTGAGTACAGTTTTCTAAGTACATGAAGTGCATTTTATTTGCGGGATATATAGAAAATATGAATTGTATTGCTTATATACAGTAGGTGTATACTGTAATGGGAAAATGATATGTGTTAAATGCTTCATTTGTATGACCAGTTTATTAGTTGCAAGTGGTTCGATCACAAAGGCCCTGACATAAGAACTGATGTCTCCCACTTGGATTAGATGTTTCCAGCGTCATGGCTGTAGAGATTGAACAAAGTGTTTATGTCTATGACCACCTTTGTTTTAGCATGTTGGGAGAGCAAGGACACGGTCAAAGAGCTGACGTGTCTTACATGGATAAGATGTTCCCAGTACCCTGGCTGTAGATACTCAACAAGATGGTCAAAGGTTTCTGTTGACGCCACCGATATCTAAACTTAGGTATAAGAACTGCCTCGATGTGTTGGGGCGAAAAGGAGGTTCTTGACAGTCAACTGACCACGTAGCTGTTGTGACCCTTTTTCCCTTGCAAGGAAATAAACGGAGAAAAGACATACTTGACTCAGAGCCTTTGTTTCTTACTTAACGATTGTCTGTGCAAAATCTTCCACCACAATTTGGTGTCAGAAGTGGGATCGTTTGAAGCTCCGTCGGGACTCCGAGGACGTCCGGGAAGGGGCCACTTCAGGATCCACCAAACGTGATTCTGCCCTATACCTCATCACACTCAGAGAGAGGGAACCGGCGACCAAAAGAGACCTGATTGGCTTCAACACGATCCGATGAGGAAGATTTTCACACGAATCGGGTAAGAAGTTGATATTCTGATTTTCAAACGGGGCTTTCTGAATTATAACGGGTGATAACAGATTACAAAGACGGGTATTTAGTACTTTGGGATTTTTTTATTTTTTTTTATTATTTTTTCTCTCTCTTCTTAGAAAATCCAAATTTCGGTTATTTGATTGGGCTTCTAATGATGATAACTTGTCTTTTTATCCGGTTATTTGAAAAAATGTGTATAAAATTATAGGAGTAATTATACAGTATTTCCGGTTCATCAGCATCCAACTTTTTACTGAGGAAGACCGGGAGCAATGTGTTAAAAGTAGCCCTGCCCAGTCATTATTCATTATAACATCACTAAAGTGATGTTCACATTAATGGACCAATTGTAATCCGATCATATCTAGTGTTGGGCAAGTTACTGAAAATGAGTATTTAGTTACAGTTACTAGTTAGTTCTTTGAAAGGTAATTGAATTACTTACCAGTTACTGTGTATCAAAAGTAATTAGTTACTGTGGAAAGTAACTTAAGTTACTTTTATGTCTGTTTTTTAAATGTAATGAATATAAATAGTGAACAGTCAAACACAATAAACATATTTTTTAGACCTATTTATTGTAATCAACAGGGCAACAGTTTGCGTGGAGCGGCGCCTGCAGCATCCGCGGGGTTGAGCGACGCGATGCTGTTTACATGCACTACGGCGACTATGTGACACACAACGTTTGGTGGCCACAACTATTTTGTGTTGACAGGCAGCTATTTACTTACTATTTGCCGGCCCTCCGCTTCGCGTCACAAAAGAGAGTAACGCGAGTAACGAACTAGGTAACTCAGTAATTGTAACTGCGTTAATTTATTTAAAAAAATACTTTGTTACATGCTCGTTACCGCTAAAACGCGTTACTCCCAACACCGATCGTATCATATTTTCGCTTCATTTCACAGTTTCGTAATTTGGGCAGTTTTTAGCGTTTTGACGTTTCAGTAAAACACGCTCGCGCAAGCTCGATTGGTGCTGTCTGGGGGATTGCAGCATCTTGTAGCTCCGCCCTCGATTATTCAGCCCGGTCGACGTGCGCGTGGCCGTGCGGCGCGCCGGAGCAGAGGCGTTGGGCTCGTAGCGGAGGCGGAGCAGCAGAGGGGCTCGCGTTATTGTGGCCGTAGCGGATAAAATACCCTGCGACCTCTGGATTCAAACACACCGCGGTTCCCTCTCATCTAGGCCGGAGAGGGAGGAGGGATATTTGCAGGTTTATTTTGCGTGCCCGTGTGTGTATGTGTGCGCGCGCGTATCCGTGTCCTCTCACACTGCGAGAAGTTTTGAACGCGGACTTGTGGAGAGGAGTTTACGGCCGGACCGACAGAGCTAGCCCAGCTGCGCTTCCCTCCGTCCCGCGGCCGGCCAGCCGTAAGCTCCCCCGCCGCCCCGCGGCGAAGCATGGCGCTCAAAGCCCGGGCGCTGTACGACTTCAACTCGGAGAACCCCGGGGAGGTGTCGGTGAGGGAAAACGAGGTCCTGACTCTGTACAGCGAGCAGGACATCGACGGCTGGTTCGAGGGGGTCAACGGCCGAGGGGAGAGGGGACTGTTCCCCGCGTCCTACGTGGAGGTCCTGCGGAACGACGTCGCCTCCGCGCTCAACAACAACAACAGCTGCGGCGGCACATCTGGGGACACCTACTCGGACTCGAGGTACTCCAACATCCCACCGGGAGGGTTTGACGGCTCGAGTCAGCCGCAGAATAAAGTTGAGCACTTCCCCAAGCCGCCCGTGCCCAGTTTCGCCACTTTCTCGGGTCCCACGCAGCAGCAGCAGCAGCAGCAGCACGCGTACCAGCAGCCCAGCCAGGGGAGCGACGATGACTGGGACGACGAGTGGGACGACAGCTCCACTGTTGCAGACGAGCCGGGCACCGTGGGAGGACGGTACCAGGACTTCGAGAGCAACGGGCCGTCCACCTACTCAATGTCGATGTCCTCCGCGTCCAGGGGCAATGCGCAGCAGGCGAAGAGCTCCGCCACGGTCAGTAGGAACCTGAACCGGTTCTCAACCTTCGTGAAGTCCGGAGGAGAGGCGTTCGTGCTCGGGGAGGCGTCGGGTTTCGTCAAGGACGGGGATAAGATCTGCGTGGTGCTGGGCCAGCACGGCCCCAGGTGGCAGGAGAACCCGTACCCATTCGCGTGCACAATCGACGACCCCACCAAGCAGACCAAGTTCAAGGGCATGAAGAGCTACATCTCCTACAAGCTGACGCCCACGCACACGCAGACCCAGGTGAACCGCAGGTACAAGCATTTCGACTGGCTGTACGCGCGCCTGGTGGAGAAGTTCCCCGTCATCTCGGTGCCGCACATTCCCGAGAAGCAGGCCACCGGGCGCTTCGAGGAGGACTTCATCTCCAAGCGCAAGAAGGGCCTCACGTGGTGGATGAACCACATGACGAGCCACCCGGTGCTGGCCCGGTGCGACGTCTTCCAGCACTTCCTCCGCTGCAACAGCGCCGACGAGAAGGCCTGGAAGCAGGGCAAGAGGAAGGCGGAGAAGGACGAGATGGTCGGAGCCAACTTCTTCCTCACCATCAGCACCCCGGCGGCGCCGCTCGACTTCCAGGAGGTGGAGAGCAAGATCGACGGGTTCAAGAGCTTCACCAAGCGGATGGACGACTCGGCGCTGCAGCTCAGCGCCACCGCCAACGAGTTCGCCCGCAAGCAGATCGCCGGCTTCAGGAAGGAGTACCAGAAAGTGGGGCTCTCCTTCAAGGTGCTCGGCCAAGCCTTCGAGATGGACCAGCAGGCGTACTCCGCCGGACTCAACCAGGCCATCTCCTTCACCGGAGACGCGTACGAGGCCGTCGGGGAGTACTTCGCCGAGCAGCCCGGCAAGGACCTGGACCCCATCATGGACCTGTTAGCGCTCTATCAAGGACACCTGGCCAACTACCCGGACATCATCCACGTGCAGAAAGGTAGCTCAGCCACCCGTCATACACGATGTATACACTTTTCATCCAGCGCGTTATTAGTGTGTGCGTGCGTGCGTGTGTGTAGTGCGTGTGAGGCAGCTTTTTCATCAATAAAGATGACTTGTTGATAAATTACACAAAAGAAATGCCGACATAAACACTTAACTGGATGAAATTTCTCTGAACTCCAAAACATGTTTTTCCTACTGCTGTTCATCGGGAAGAAAGCTGTAAAGTTCCAGGTAACGCTGGTGGCTAAACATCTGGAATGTGTTTGCAGCTGCTGCTCTGGTTGCTCTGGTTTGATTGCAGCGTGTCACGTACACAGAGAGTGTTGCACTCATTTGCAGCCATATCGTCCTCGCGTTTGTTTGTCTTTGGCACAGAAAGTCCACGTCGGACCAACGTAGGCCGTCCTCCTACACGACCCTCAGCCCGAGGGTCACGCTCTCGGTCACGCTCATGAGACGCAGGTGTAGTTGTTTATGTTCGGAGGGAAGCTCTCTCACTGCTGTTTTCCACACATTGGAGAAAAACAAAAAACCTGGATGATAATAAAGGTAAAGGGAACTTGTAGTGCTCCTCCCTCCTGCGACGAGTCGACCTGCACGCCGTCGTGAACATTTATACGGGACCTTCTGCTTCCGTTTAGTAGATCACATCTCTTCACCCCCACTGCCCACTTTATGAATCTCTCACGAAGGGTTAGAAGGCAGTTTTATAAAATACATAAAAATGTGGACAAACTGGGCGATTAATCAACATGATCCCATCGCGAGCAAATCATAATGCACAATAAAGCAGTGTAAATGGATAATAACTTCCACATACTAATTCTTGGTTTCTCAAAAAATCTGATGTAACATATTTTAGAGGGGAAATATTGTTTGAAAATTGCACATTTTGTTTTAAGATCTCACTTTACATTATTGTAAATATATAGTTGTCAGTGGAGTGATGAAAATACGTTCACTTTGACTTGAAATTGATATTTTCATTCTGCACTAAAGTTCCTAAATAAAGGAGAAAAATAGGTTGTCCCATGGGATTTCTTGCATATGGACTCTTTGTTTATTAGATCACAAGTAAACGTGATAACTGTAGTAATGCGAGATAGTCCCCAGTCAGCTCATAAGTTGCCACGTCAGGACCTCGCCCGAAGAAGGCATGGAAACTGTCCGCTTGACAACCCCAAGCATGACCGCACGGGGAAAAGAACTACCTGTTGGCTGCCTGCCAGTACCTGTAAAAGTTAAAGAGCTTCTAATCTTTCATTTTCTTTACGTTCCTTCTTGTCAACGTGCTGCTCAAACTGCAAACGAGGATCCAGGAGTGTTTGAGAAAGTACTTGCTGTTCAGGTTCCTCATCGGGAATCACCTCCTTGCAAAATGACTGTAATTAGCAAGAGTAGGTGTGTTTTTTTTTTCTTCTTTTTTTAATGAAGACAATACTTTTGTCTGTTTCTTCCGTTCTTCTCCTCTCTCTCTCGTATAGGTAATGAAACACGCGTTTGAGTACTCCTTTCCTGATGAAGCGCATGGAGGAAATGTCCGAGTGCTTATTCTTCCCTTCGAGGTTGATCTCTTGACATGTTTCGCACGGTTTGACATCTGAAGGAAGTCTAGGCCACATCCTCTGGCGCTGTTGTAGACCACAGCGCACCGCTCCCGTACCCCCCGGTGCTGTGCTTGAGAGGTCTGGTCAGATGGCGGCTGTGAAAGTGCAGGCTCAGGAGTGAGGCCTCTGCCCCTAATTAAGAGGTTATCTCTTGTGGTCACATATGTGTAGCTCTCTTTACAAAGAAGCCAGCCGAAGCACGGCTTGTCAGCCATATTGACAAACCAATTCTATTTTTAGCCCCCTGATATCCGTCTTGTCAGGGCCTCAGACAGGTTTTATTTGTCCCCTTGGAAATGACCGGTGAAATGGGAGCCGTCCCACAGAGGGACGGCGGACATCACCGCATCGATCAGCACCTCCTCGGGAGACGCAATTAGCCGTTAGCGTGGGGCCCGTGGTATCGACAGCACATTGGGTGTTGCTTTCAGAAACTAATCAGGCTTCACGTCTTTCATGTTTGTACTTTTTTTTTAAATTTTTGTCCCAATACGATATCAGATCCGTCAGAACTGGTTTGAGTATTCAGTTGTTATTCATTTGTAATTTTTGTTATTGAAGCTCAAGAGGATGGGGATCCTGAGAATTTGAACCATTTAAAACGGATACGTTGCCTTGCTCATTTAGAGGTGAAAAACATGTTGGTCTTTATTTGTCAAGCGATTTGTTGAACTGCAACCCGTTGTTGTTCAAACATTTACTTGAGCGATAATATTGACCTCGCCCGGAGTGGAAAGAAAACCTTCCGGTTGACTTTAAGACAAGGGCATGCTATCAATTTAGCTAAAATTATAAAGCGACAACCGATTACAAAAAATGGTTTAATTCAGTAGAAAATTACTCTTCATCGGACTGATCAAGTAATAGTAGTATTTTCAAGGGGGGAGCACATGATGAACTAGCCAAAAGATCTTCCAGCTTACAATTGTCTGTTTCTTTAATTCAATCAGTTTGCTGTTAAGCAAGTACTGCAATTAGGGTTAAATTAAAAACTAATTAAATTGGTGAAAAGCTGTTTGCTCTGTTTGCTCTACTTTTTTTACCCTCGTCGCTGTTCTTTTGTCTCCTCATTCCCTGGTCAACTCCATCTATCGAGCACTTCCCCGTGAGCTGCGCTACGTTCCGCCTCATCGCAGTTTGATTGGCGGGCAGAGGAAAGATAGAACAATGGCCGACCATCTAGGGAAAGCACAGACCCACAAAAGCCCCGTGTTTTCCTGCCGAGTCAGCCGGTCTCAGCCGACTCCTGTGCAAACGCTGCACGGCCTCTCCGATGCGTTGTCCCAGGCCATTTGAGTGTCCTCCATCGCGTGAGCGGGTGCTGGGGTGGGGGATTGCCTCGGGCCACGCAGGTCACAGCCATCCTGGTCGCTCAGCGTTGTGTAACGGGGGATTACGTAAGGGCTGAAGCCGCTGCCATCTCCATACACCATGGGAGGATTTTACATCATCTGTTTACTATTCAGACCCTGTCAATCACGGGGATTGAGGCTGGGATCTGTGTTGAGGTCCGTGTCATCTCCAATCTATTAACACAGAAGCATTACACAACATACTAGCAGGGTCCAGTGTTTGCTGCTTGGTCAATCGGTGGCAGGAGCAGAAGCAGATTTCCAGATACAAAAATGCATTTATTGTGAAAGAAAAACAACGTGCGCATTATTCCTGTTAATGCTTTCTTTCTGCTTCTTCTTTTTTGCCTGGTTATCTTTGGGTACCTAGAAAAGTGCTATAAAAAAGCAAAAGTATTATTATAATTAATACAATCCGTTTGGATGTTCCGGGGTTTGCCGACGTCATCAGACCAGGTGGGGTCCCTTCCATGGCCTTGCCCCCCAACCTCCCAATTCCCCCAAAGTACCTTCAAAATGCGCTGTAGTCGGCTGCACAGTTCTGCACAATTCTCTACAGCGCCTTTTAACATCTGAGCTTGTGAATGTGTTGTGGTGGAAACCCTAAATACAAGTATGAGTCCTAAAATGAGCAGTTTATGCCTCATTTAAAGTCTAACTAACCGTGCATTCTATTGGGAAAACAGAGGAGCAGCAAACTAACAAGCAGATCTCTGAGCTTCACAAGTCTCTACCTGCAGTTGCGGCTGGTGGAAAAGGTTCTTGGTAGGGCAATCAAATCTATTTCAGCAAATATCCACATTACCACCTCGCAGTAAATACTTCAAATGTATTCCAACATGGGAAAAAATCAGCAAGTAACACTTTGGTTGGCTTATGTCAGCCGATGTGAAAGGCCGCTCCATTGCACGTTTCCCTTTCTGAGGTTCATTGTTTCTAAGTTCCACGTACAATGGATTGCAGCACAATGCAATGAAATAATGGCATATGCATCATTTTGAAAAAAGGAGGAAACAAAAGTTGACTGGGTTTAGAGAGGAAACTGCCTTGAGACAGCCCTGTCAAACCTGGTAGCTACGCTAGCCTAGAAGCTAGCAAACCGCTCACTGCTTTTGATGTATTTTCTGTTTATCGGACCACAAATCAGACAAGACGTACTCTGTTCGGCTCCTTTTCTGTAACTACCGTTAGCATGAAAACGGGTGTAGTTAACGAGCTACTGTTAGCCAGCTAACTAGCTCGCCGCAAATTGGGTAAAATAAAACCCATTCATGTTTCTTCTACACCCTCAGGTCATCATTACAAATTCACCAGATGGTGCAGTGTGATGAGAGCCTCATTTAAAATGACATTATTACATTACAGGTCCTTTTAGCTGACGCTTTTATCCATTGCATTTTTAACCCATGGCTTTTACAATTTTTGCCCAGAGAGCAATTAGGGGTTAGGTGTCTTGCTCAGGGACACTTCGACATGGGACATGGAGACGCCGCCAACCCGGCGGTTAGGGTTAGACGCACCCTCTGTATCTGTATCCGTATCTGTATGCGCCACCGTCGACCCCAGGACAGGCTGGAGCTTTGTCTGTAATGCTACACAGAGGTTTCTGAACAAATAAAAATGCTTGACACTGTGCAGAGACACAAGGATGTGGAAGTCTGACTAAAGGGAATTAACTTTCTTTTATTTCACGACGTAGATTAATCTCAAAATTGGCATCGAAGCGATCAGGGCTGATTTTTAAACAATAGTAGTAGTCGGCTTAAGCCACTTTCACCCATAAAAGTTACATTATGGCATTAACGTGTTTCATCAATTTATAGTCATATGATTTACTTTTGGGTTTGAATCATGTTGCTCTTTAATTAGGAGATTATTAGGGCAATTGTTGGGTAATAAATCATCTACAGGCCTCTTTGTAGCTATTCTGGACAGACATAGCGTCTTATCGCAGCGTTCCCACAAGGATTACTCACAGCAGCTGGGAAAATGATGTGGCTGTCTGTATGTCCCAGTTTGCTGACATCGTCTTCTCTGACTGAACTTTTTCATAACGTCTCCATGACAACAATTCCTCCTTGGTCCATTAGCGGCCTTTGAAAAGGCAGGAAGCCAGAGACCTTTTAGGTAAACACCTTTGGGGTCGGCATTTAAGTCTTTGGACAGCTGTGTTTGTTCCAGTCTCGGTCTGCTACGTGCTATCTTTTATGTTGCTTCCCTTTCTGTTGCTTCTCTTTCTGTTGCTTCTCTTAATGTTGCTTCTCTTTCTGTTGTGTCCAATCTGCTTTGCTTTAAAAGACTAAAAGGCTTTTCTACGGTTTGGGTTAAACTGCAGCTGAGTGAGCTACAGCCAGAAGGCAAACTGGGCCAATTTGGTGGGTATTGGGCGTAAGCTGTGTCTTTTAGGGGGAGGTTGTCAACATCTATTCTTTTACTCTTTGTGATGTAATATACAGTGAAACCTTACTCTCTACGTGCAGAGTGACCGTCAAGAAGCCAAGCAGTATTTCTGTGATCTCCAAAGGGTCGACAGAAGCCCAAACAGTGGCGGGTTATGTCAGCGAGTCCCCTGTGGTCTCAGGTTTAAGGAAACAAGCGGGCTGAGTTCCAACCGAGTGCCGGTGACTAAGCTCACGTAATGAAAGAAAATCCCAAGATAGGTCATTACAGGAAGTTGTGCTGTATGCTTTAAAGGCACAAATCCTACCCGCCGCCCTGGAACCCTAATCGCTAAGATTACAGTGTTCCGTCCTGCTGTGATTTGTGTTTTGAACCATCGCAACAATGGCATAGATAGAACAATCTGTAACATCTCACTACACAAGTTTCACTCGAAAACAGCTTACGGCTACAGCTCTCAAATGTGTAAAATCACTATTTACTGATGTGGCTTCTTGCTTCACTACCTGCGTCCGCTCAATGTCCCACTCATGCTGCAAAATGAATGACCTGAAAAGGGAAAACACCACTTCAAAATGTACTTTTCTTGGCCTACACATCATTTTTTGACCAGCACAAATTCCATGAAAATTAAACTATTCAAGGGCGCACACACACACACACACACACACATACATTCTCGTCACAACCTGGGGGAGGGGGCTTTCTAGCCCTGACATGTAAACATTTCTAAGGAGTTGGATCAAACAGACGGTCACAACCTGTCAGTTTATCTCATGTTTCAGCTCAAAACTCATTACTCGTGACATTTCTACCCTGACTAGACCAGATAGTTCTGCTCCTGGTGTTTTGACCTTGCTGTCTGCTGCTATTGGAAGTTAGTAGGCACAGTTTTTGTTTGGGCACCATTATGAACAAAACGCCTGCACCACATTGCACCGTGAGAAAATGGGAGGTTTGTTAACCGGTTACACATGGTTTCCCCCATGCCACAAGACTGCACCACAGTGACAGCAAGTAGCTCTTCTCAGTAGAATGGAAACTTGCGGCTTGTGATACTTTCAGTTTGAGTAGTATCTGTGTGATGGGAAATATCTTACAAAAGCTTATATCAAATAATAATCAGTATGATGTAGGTACTGTATTTATGTCAGTCGTCTCGTCTGCTTGAATGGCGATAAAGTGCTCTTCACTTCCTCCAGAATGTCATGTCTCCTAAAGTAAACAATGCACACAAAATCAATAAATGGCATCACAAGTAAGAGGAAAATATGTTGTTTTCACTTTGTGGTGAATTATCCATTGTTAAGCTTCTAAAAAAACACTTCGACCTACTCTTTAATTTTGCCGTCTGAATATGCTGTATGTTTGTAACGCCTACGTACACGATATCACGGTAAACAACTGAAGCTAAAGCTGCACGTTGCAGACAAAGGGTCAAGCAGAAGACTGCAAGTAACAAAAAATGTATGATCAGACGATTAATTCCTAGCAGTTTACTGTGATACCAGCATGTAATCAGGTGCTCTCTTTTAGTTAGCACTTGAACAGACTCGTGTTACGGCCTTGAAATTGCCGGAAATCCTTGGTCCTCAGTGCAGCGCTGCCAGCAAAATCCCCTTAAATGGTTATTTAAAAAAGGGCAACGAAGTGACATAATGTAATAGATATTTTAGAGTCGCGCCCCCTCGCATTCCCTGACTGGACGCACAGAGCTTTGGAACAAACTGTTCATCAAACTATTTTCAGCCGGCTCCCTAAAGTTATACATTTACTGCCAGGCTCTTGCATCTTAATAGCAAATATTCCCGAGATCATTATATAATGATTTCATTTCCCTGTTACTGAGTGTAAAGGTCAGCTGGTCTGTTTGATGAGTTAACTGTTGCTTGTGAGCTGGTTTCACGGGGTGATTGAACATTGATGTATAAATTCTGTTCATACGTTTTCTCTCTCGACCCACAGGAGCGCTGACCAAGGTGAAGGAGAGCCAGAAGCACGTGGAGGAGGGAAAGATGGACCGCTCACAGGCGGAGGGCATCGACGAGCGCTGCAACATCATCTCCTGCGCCACGCTGGCTGAGATCCAGCACTTCCACCAGATCCGCGTGCGCGACTTCAAGGCCCAGATGCAGCACTACCTGCAGCAGCAGATCGCCTTCTTCCAGAAGATCACAGGAAAGCTCGAGGAGGCTCTGCAGAAATACGACGACGCGTAACGGGGAGCGCTTCATTTGCCCTCCTTAGTCCTCCGCGCCCAATGGCCACGCAGGGCCTGCCCCTCGGGCCCCCAGTGGAGGTAAACAACCCCCTCACACATACTGGTGAACGCCTTTCAACCAACCGAGGGGAGAGACTTTCAAGGGGATGACGCTGCGGTGACATTTCAACCAAGTCCCAGCTGTGTGTTGGCCACATTATTTTGGGGGGGTCACCGGGGGATGTTCTGGTGTAAGAAAGGACATGTAATTTAATTGACTGAGAATCAGCGGTGAGGATGGTGCACCGCCTGACCGGGCGGATGTGGAGAAGCCAATCGACGTTAGGAGCCTCCTGTCTGCCATTTCAAAAAGCCTTGCAACACTTTTAGCTGACAGCCACTCCAGGAGAAGCGCCGGCACCAGTGGGTTAACACACCGCCTTCTGGGGGAACAGTCGGGCCCTTCCAGGTCTCCCTCAAACAGGGACAAAATGTTTACAGCCGCCAACGTCACCGCCGTCTCGCTGTGCCTTCACATTATGTCACTCAGTCATTTCTTTCTTCTAGTTACTAAAGAGCTTTACATACTGTAACTGTAGGAATATATTCTATATGTTTATACACATTTAACAGGCTCAGAAGAAATCAAAAAAGACCACTGTGCTTTGAAGGCCTGTGTCTTTCACGGGAGAAAATACTGCTGTGTTGTGACTGTTATTTACCCCCCGACACCCTTCTCCTCATGAACTGGATCACCTGCTCTCACAATAGGAGCCTGTGGCCTTAGATGGTGCGGCCACGTGCAACGGACACATGCGCTGCCGGAAACCTTCATTTTGTGTCGACCCCATATATATATATATATTTTTTTTTTTTTTGTCTTTTAGGCTGGTGTTTCAGAGGAAGGCTGGTATGACAATGCAGTCTTTTAATAGAACACTTCTAGACAGCACTGCGGTTTCTTGTTTGTTAACCTTTATCATGTTGATTCCATCAGAAGCAGAGAAAATAAATTCCTCCTTCTCACCGAAAGCTGTTGGTTTTGATCGTGTGTGTGTACCTAAAAATATGCGATACCTCATGTCCCCCGAATCCAGTGAAGAACTGGGGGAAAAGAAGAAACACTCAAAGTTAAAATCTGCCTTTTAACGGCCCCTCAAAGTGCCTCAGACACTCACAAGCTCTGTGTAAACTCAAGGTTTCCTTGGCAGCGTCCCTGGAGGCCCGGAGTCGTAGGGGGGGTTGTTGTGTCAGTGTTTCATGCTCTGTCGGCAGATGTGCTGACCGTGCACGAGCCTCTGCAGCCACCAGACATCTGGCTGCTGCTAGACGCGCCGGAGTATACGACATTGAGGGTGGGTGGGGGGGGGGCGGTTTCATTAGCCGTCATCTCCCCCATCTCTAATTGAGATAACCAGGGCTTATTGGAGATTACACGTTTCTGACCCTGCACCTCAACAGCGCCAATCCAAGATCTAAGATAAATACGGTAAAAGGTATAGGAAGTGTTAAGGGTTCGGAAAGCCCTCGAAGGAGCCCTCACTCCTTTGTTCTCGTCCCGGCCGGAAACGAAGAATCACCTTGCTCAAATTTAAAAATCAAAAAGTATTTAATAACTAATCAAAGTCATAAGGACAGTTACAAAGTGAAATGCGATGCGAACAGTGAAATATTTCTACCACCGGACAAGAGAAAAATACTCCCAAAAAACCCTCTTCGGGGATAAAATTGGGAGAAATCCATAAAGGACGGCAATTAGCATCCGTCCCCAGGTTTTAACATCACGTTGACAGAATGTTAATGTGTACAGTGTTTATATGATTTACATGACTATACACTGTTTGATTCATATTGCATTCACTTCATCTAACATGCTAATGTAATAACTGATATATAACAACACACAAACTACAATTCTTACACTAAACATTATTAGACATATTATAATTTCCACTAGGGGTGCACTTCTAGCTTAAATCCCTAACAAAAGGCTTTTTTTAACATTTTGAAACATTAAGCACATTGAGTAGGATTCTACTTAGAGCTGCGATAAAATGTTGTTCTACAAAACATTTGAGCCTCTTTACCCATTTCCACAGAAATAGATACAATAGCTGGCTAACGATATGCCGTCTTGTGGGAACTAGCTCGCGCTCGGAAACTATCCAACCACTTCTATCTTCTCTAGTTTTCAAATGTAATCTTGGGTTTTTCCACTTTCTCCATAAACACTACAAGATGCACACAGCCTCCGGCCTGCAGTCAATGCTTCCAACGCCCGGGGAAATGGGTGCTCCTGTTTTCACATTCTTCCCCTCCCCCGCCACAAGCTTGGGTTGTTCTGAATTATCAACGTTAGGCACACGTTTTGGAAACCTCAACAATATGAGACCCACCCATGATAAGAATGCCGCGACAATATCATTCAAAGCTGTGCACGGCTTTGAGTGAGGTCATTGTCAGAGAAACAGACATTTAGTCACCTCGGTCTATCTGGCATGCAGGAAACTTTCATGAGCCCACAGATGTTCAGTGTGAGAAACCGTTTGGCCACAGGAGCATCCCGGGCGAACCTCTGAGCACGGTGAAACATAAAGGACACTCGGTGGGATTTAATAGTTTGTTATCACTGGTAGCATTTCAGTTCCAATAATAAAGATCACATGTCCAAAGGGAAGATATACATGCATGCAGCCATGATTGGACACCCCACATATGAAGCCGTTTGCTGCAGCCGAATGGGAGATTAGCCGTGGACAGACACAGAGGTTCACACTCACAAACGGGTTTACACACACGCAACCAAGAAACAACAAGTGTTCATAACTGCTTCTGACTTGGCTGATTCTTCAGGACTTGCAGTCATTATTTGTACTTCTCTTAAGACCTGTTTACACATTGCAGCATGTAGAAATGAGTTTGTTTTCCATCCGTTTCAGGAGTTGGCACAGAGATGCAGAGAACAGGGTTTCCCCATCTAATGGTCGGCGCTGACGCCACAGCCAGCCGCATTGCTATCATAATGAATCAGCGTCTCGGTATTCTTGTCTAGATTACAGGATGTGTTTTTTCCAAGTTGTAGTTTCAATGTGACGTGTTGTTTTTTTTGCGTGTTGTGTTGAAACACTGTCGGTAGGAGATGACTCATTGGTTCAGAAGCAGAAGCAAATATCAAGTTTCTTTTTCATGCTTTTGGAATGTGTGCACTCAGCATTTTCCTGCCCAAGGTGGATTCTGGCTCTGTCCGCCACCTCCTGAGACTTGGTTTAAGTTGGTCCCCTGGGACCTTGTCATTAAAGTTTCACTTCTTAATCCTCTAAACATCACAAGGGCTTTGGAGATTATAACCTCCACTTCTACATGTAATTACCGCCTCACGGATGCACACCTCCAAAATATAATGAATTCCATCTCATTAGATATTTGTGTGTCATGTAATTGGGCTTTTCTCGAGCCAGTGTATCATTCAATTATTGTGGAATTAAAAAGCCACCCAGCTAAACTTTCCGTTTGGTAGTTAGACAGCTTGTTAGTTCTGTCTCGCTTTACACTGGCGTACAGCGTGCTAGTCTATATTTTTGTAGTGAGTATACTGTGACAAGGTAGCTGTAATTAAACCTCTTCTTAAGAAATCTACTGTTGCTCCAGAAGTGTTGGCTAACTACAGACCTGTCTCTAATCTTCCCTTCCTCTCTAAGATCCTTGAGAAATCCATCGCAAATCCATTATGTGACTTTCTACAAAACAATGCTCGAGGATTTCCAGTCAGGTGTTCGAGTGCATCATAGCACAGAAACAGCTCTGGTGAAAATTACGAATGATCTTCTATTTACATAGAAGACTTTTCTTGTCTTGCTGGTCCCCAGTGCCGTATTTGACACCATTGATCATTGTATCCTGTTGCAGAGACTAGAACATTTGATTGGTATTAAAGTAACTGCATAGAGCTTGTAACACTGTACTGCCCTACAGCTGCGCTCCATGGATGTTGGGTTACTTGTTGTTCCTAGAGGTTTAAAAAAATAGGATGGGAGCCAGAGCCTTCAGTTATCAAGCTCCTGTTTTGTGGAACTAGCTCCCATTTTCAGTCTGGGGGGCAGATGCGGTCAGTACTTTTAAGATAAAGCTCCTCTTTGATACCGCTTATAGTTAGGGCTGGCTCAGGTTAGCCCGGACCAGCCCTTAGTTAAGCTGCTATAGGCTTAGACTGCCGGGGGACTTCTTAGGACACACCGAGCTCCTCTCTCACTGCCTGGCCCCTTTGACACCTACCGCTTCTAACACCATTGACATTCACATTTCTATTGCTGTAAACATTAATGCGCATCTTTGTTTCCACAGAGTTTTTGTGCTTTCTCGCCACACAGGTTTCCATGGATCATGGTTCAATCTGGACCCTGTTCCTGCCTCTTACCGTGGCCCTGCTGACACCTGCTGCTCCTATCATCATCATCATCATCATCATCATCATTAATACTATTTTAAATATTAAACACATTACTTTTACTGTCATCATAAACCAACATTACCCTTTCCTAAAGTGTGCTTTCCCTCCCCCAGTCTTCATTGGCTTACTGGCGGGTGTTGGCATTATAACAACTAAGGACTATCACCTATATGAGTTCTGCTCCTAGTTATTTACCTACAATCATCATACTAAGAGCTACGGCTGTTGCCGATACGGGAGCATAAAAAAACATCTACAGGTGTGGAAATCCTCACTTCTTTGTGTTCACAGCGCTCAGCTGTTAATCTGTCCCACTGCAAAGTTTGGTTGCTGTTGAGTTGATGATGGCTGGCAGTGTGAGGTAGATTTTTTTCGTTTTCTTCCAAAAAAGATACTTGTATTTCAAAGAAACACCCGTTATACAGCAGCGTATAAAATAATCCTCTGACCTGAGCACAGCAGCACGCTCCCCACTCTTAGGGGCGAGGCCCTCAGTCATGGAAACGGCTCAGACAAGCTACACCCTGCTAATAAAACATTATTTTTTGGCTAAAATTATCAGCTATGTCATCAATTGTGTACTGGACTTTATCTACCTCATAATAAATACAGCTGGGTCAGATTTTGTTATTGTTCGAACAAGCTGAAGAAACACAGCAAAAGATGTTGCATTTATGTTTGTATGGTACCGGCCTGATTAAATCATCAACATCCTGCCACAACCACACCCATTTTCAGCGCAGAATAAGAGGTTTTTTAAACAATACGCTATTCTTGCACGAAAAGCTGTTCAACCGCAGCTCGCCTCAATAAGGTTCCTTGCTGAATTATTTCCTTTTTTTAATTATTTACGAAAGCAGCAGCTACTAACAATGTTATCCAGGAAAAAAATTCCAATGAATTTGCTGGAAAAGAAAGAAAAGAATGTTGTTTATTGTGGGATGCAACACAGCGACGTTGGTATGTTCTCTGGTTTCCAATTAATGAGCATTGTGGGAGTTGCCGTAACCCTTTTTTCGGAGGAGAGAGGACATGCTGTGCGTTCGGTACCTGGCAGCATGTTCAGGAATGTGGGAGCACTCTGCATTCTTCAGCCCCGGTTTTGTTTTTCTAGCCCTCACACAGGAAGCTCCCTCCGGCGGGGCCTCGATCATGTAGCCTGAAAAAAACGCTGACTGCCCCCCCCCACCCGCGCCTTTCTGGCCGGTCTCCAAGATAGACACACACAACACCAACACACTTTTTTTGTTGTTGTCTGTGGGCCAGTGTGCATTCTCCCCTCCCCCTTACCCCACCAGCGAGAACCACTCACAAAGAGGCCGCTTGGCCTCGTTGTTTTCTCACTCAGCAATAGAACAACAAGAACTCTGGTCAAATACGTTTACCGGGAAAATGAAACATTTTCCAGATTTCATAGATTAACTACATTTGAGTTTTGCTGTTACTTGTCAAGGCCATCTGATAAAATGTGAGGTTCCTTGGAAACATCATGTGTTTCCAATTTATGCTAAAGTGAGATTATAATTGTGAGATATTTATCTAGCTGAGTTGAGACTTGTTCAAGGTCAGGGAGTTAATATTCACG